TTTTTTTTTTTTTTTTTTTTTGCATTAATGACCCTTAAAGCTGCCAGGAGATAAGAGGTGGGAAGACAGAGAGGGAACCCTCTCAGTCTACCTAGGAGAGGAGAAAAGAAAATTAATAGAAGTTAACAGAAACATGGAGAATGTCAAGGAGGCCTTGCTGGGACCAGGCCATGTCGTGGAGGCCCATCTCCTCTTGGTCAGAACCCCAAAGGACCAAATGGGTCCATGCTTCTGTTGCTCCATTTCACAGGCAGATGCCAGTTGTAAGGTCACACGAAAGCCTCAGCGACTGAAGACCTTGAAGGCTGACGTGGGAGAGAACAGGAGCCTCAGGAAGTCTCAGATCCATCCACCAGTGTCAAGGTGGCACTTTGTGGGTCAGAAGTTGTGGGAGTAGAACTGGAGATCCTACAAATGTGTGACCAAGGCAGATGGAGAGCAGGGCTAGGGAAACGGGCTCCTCACATGGCCTCACAGTTCTGCCCTTGCCGTCATCTCCTCACAGGAAGCTTTCTTCCAAGTGGTCTGGCCACCCCACAGGCATGGTCTAGTTTCGCTGTAACACTAGGAAGTCACTCTGTCCAAAGAATGCAGGTGTATATGGTACAACCCTTTCTCCCATACCAAAGCTGTAATTTTGGAAATGAGGCAGTCCTGGGCAAAGCAATGAATGTTCTACCTCCACCTTGCTCCTTCTCTTGTTGGCTCTCCAGAGCCCAGGGGGGATTACTGTCATCCTAGAGCCAGGCCACACTTTCTGTGTGCCCAGGACTAGTTCAAAGGTGATGTCATAGAAAGGGAAGGGTACCTTTAGAGAACTCCGGGTAGGTTTCAGCCTGGCTTCAACTACAATGCAATGGCTACAGACTAATGCCGGCATTCGTTGCACAGCAGCATTAACTGTTTGATTTCAGCAAAACAGAAGTGTGACTTAAGTTTTTGTTGAAAGAGAAACGAGCTGTTGATATTGCACACCCAATAGCTTCCTTGGCTCTTACATCCAACTACCGAGGCTCAGAGTAATCCCAAGGACTTGTGTAGCATCGGCACAAAGGTTGTAGCACAGATGCCAACGGACGTGTAGGTGACAAACTTGTAAGGCACTTCAATCTCCAGTCTCCTCCTGGCCTCCTTGTTCCTGGTGACCACCTTGAACCATGAGAACAGTACTTGCAGCGAAAGGTTTTGTACAAGTTGACGAACCAAGAGGATCAACACAATTCCCACTGTAAATTTGGTCAGACTCAAAACTAACTTGTTGGTGATGAGGGGAGGGATGTTCTGAATTACAGGAAGAGGTTCAGTGGGCTTGGATACGAGTTGGAAGAAGTGGTTGATCCAGAGTCCTACGATCATTCCAGTCCCAGCAGCCATAATTGTAGTGGTGTCGGCCCTGGTTGGGCTGTAGTATTCAGATACAGGGTAATTGTAGCACAAGATAAAAGGCACAATGATGATGCCCACAAGGAAGAGGGGGCTGGCTGAGTCCAGGCAGTCAATGAGGGTCCAGGCAGGGTAGGTGAGGACAATGAGGAGCGCTGTGATCAGGACACCACCCAACACATCCTGCAGGGACAGAAGACAAATGTGGGAGCCAATGAGTGTTTCCTTGTTTCCATCTATTATTCTGAGTCAAATATGGTGAATTTGATATTTGAAATACAACTGCTGCTTTGTTTTATTTTGCAGAACATGTTCAAAGAAAGTGTAGCATGGTAAAATTTTGAAATGCAAATAAAACATGCACATAGTAAAATCATGTTATTCGTGTTACATATGTTCTTCCAGTTTTGCCTCTGTTTTCAGATAAATTCCTGTATTTCTTTTTTAATGAATGGCTACAATCTCATGGCCTTTCATTCTTGTTTATCACCTAGATCTTATAAGTATGTCAATACTCACAAGTCTTGTCATAGTCCTTATAGAGGTGGCACTGTCCTTTTAGAGCAGTGGGGTCGGGGCTGCAGGTTGGCTGGAGGGGGATTAGCTTGAAGGGGAAGCACATAAATGCAACAAGCACAGCATTGTTCCTTAGAGGATATTTAATAAGATGTAGGCATGATGTATAATATGCAGGGTGGCTTGAGAAGTCACTTTGGATTAGGCATTCCAAAATTCTACCTTGCCAGGCTTGGCACTGTCTTTGGGATTAGGATTTCAAGCAGTGTGTATAACCTTGCTTTTTTTTTTTTTTTTTTTTTTTTTTCCC